CTTCCAAGGGGATTTTGGGGGGGTGTTACAGGTATAAAAACCCCCCACCTTTAGTTTTTTTTTTCCCCACCATTTTTCATTCCAACCCGCCTTCCCCATTGGGCCCACCCCTTAAAGTACCCGGGGGTGGGCCGGTTGAAAGTTTGGGCCGGTTGGCCCGTGGGGGGTTTAAAACCCCCCCCCCCGGATTTTTAAGGGGGAGGGGAACCCCCCAAAAATCCCCCCTGGGGTGTAGGAACGGCCCCGGGTCGCGTTTTTTGGAGGCAAATTTTGGACTTTAGGGGCGGCAGAGACGCTTTGGGAAAGTTTTGCCCCGCCCGGGGTTGGGGGGGGGGGGGGGGGCTGCGTGAGGATGTATCCCCGCTAGAGGTACGCCTGATTCTCTCTTTTCGCATCATGCTATCTAAAAAAAACTGGTACACTTTTGGACCAAAGAAGTCGCACGCAGCCAGCATTCACACGTTATTCACCCCAAACGATAGCTGAACACCACAGCTACTCGTCCCTGCTTCACTACTCCAAACGGTGGCCTACAGCGTTCACGAGATCGGTATGTACCCAGTCCAAAAAAAAAAGGCGGCGCAATCTAAACTCCCAACACTGCTGGAGACTGCGATTCGTTGGGTCCAGTCCTCAGACTGAGAAGCTCGGTCACATTACGGGTAGCTGAGAGGTAAAACTCCAAAAACTCTTTTGGCTCTAGGTTGTGTGTTTAATCTCTCTGCGCGAAGGAACACTGGCCATGTACGGTATGCATACGGCTGCTTTATTGGTAGACAACCTACGTTGAGAAGTGAAAAGCTTAATGTAGTTGTAGGGAAGTGTGAGCAAGTCCCTCCTTCCCGCAGGAAAAGAATTGAAGGCAAGCACGGAAGAAGGTGGGAAAGAAAAACAAACAGCCCGCTGCTTTGTTTGCCTTCCTCCTGTGTGGTCCCGCCTTTGATGTGTCAAACAAACACCGAGAGGGATACACTGGCGCCCAGGATAGACGGCAAGAAACCACAGGCACAACACAAAACATGATGTTGCACGGGAAGCGGTACACCTCATTCTCGTTTGCGGAACGACTACAGTAACCGACTCACCTACAGCGTACCACGCCAGGAAATGTTCACACCCACTGGCGGACTGACGGTGAGTGGATGGTGTACAATAATAGCGTTTGGCGCGTCTTGTGGTTTGCAACCGGGGGAGCTCACATGACTGCCACATCAGACCATCACTCTCTGCGCTGGCGAACAGCTGCCTCCTGGTCTTCAACTGCACCTCCAACTTCCAACGGCAGGGTTCAACAACTTATTACACTCACAACAGCCTCTAATTTTTGCGCAAAACGAGTATCACGGCTTCTATCGTCGCACATGCGAACAACTCACTCATGAGCAAGCCCGAGGAACACCTCTTCGGACGCATAGGTGAGGTGGAGCCTGGCTCGCGAGACTTCCGGCGGCGAGGCCTCCGTGAACTTCCCCGCGGTGTCGAGGACGCACTCGTACGGGTAAGGGTTGCCGTTGATGGTCACGTGGATAGCAGCGGCCTGCTCAACCACGCCCGTTCCTGTTTCGTCAGCGGCGATCTTCGCTGCTGCTCTCAGCACGCGCTCAGGTTCGGTAGCCATGGCTCCGGCCACACACAGCAGTCGAACGCAACAACACAGTGTAGTGGACGCGCCTGCACCGCGCTGGCGGGGGTACCGTGTTTCAATATCCCGGGCCACCCCCGGGCTGCGGGCGCTGCAACAACAAAAATATATGGCCCGCTTGTTTGAATTTTGAAAACACAACAGGCAGTCGTCACAACATTCAGGTGAGGGATCTCGTGTGTTGCTGAGTTTATCCCCCAAGACGCGTTGAGCGAATTTTGTCTACGGCCAACTTCTGTCTAGACGTGGTGTAGTGCATGCCCGGCGACCCCAACATAGCACACCAAACTCGGTGGCCGAAAAGTACGCCTCCCCCGGAGATACTCTCCATCGACCCCCCTCTTCAACACCCTTGAACACCCCAACAGCTGAGCTGAGCGTAGAGCCAGTCACGTGGAGCCTGCGTTGCGTCTCAAGGACCACCATAGCTGGAGAATCCACTAGGTTTTCCTGGTACCATGCACTTTGCAAAGTCCCCGTGCGTTTTTCCGAGCTCACCCACCCTTCCTCTCCACGCCAACCCTTGCCTCTGTGTGGCATCCACTTTGCATCATCGGGACTTTGTTCAAGTACAGACTCCCGAGAGACGCTCTCGGCCGCACGCGACACAGCGACCGCACGCGACACAGCGACGCGGTTACTCTCGGGCGCTGTTCATGAGGGCAGGCGGTGGTGGGAGGAGGAGGTCTTCCGCGCACGGGAGCGCAATAAGCTCGGATTGGGTCGAGCTGGAAGGAGATGCTATTGTCGGAGAGGCCAGAGCTAACATGCGGCTTGCTGATGCTGGTGATGGGGCAGAGGACAGTGACGTCCCTGACACTGTTGACTTCAATGGCGAGGTGGGCGTTGATTGAGGACGCGGCGGCATTGGAGGTAGTCTGCGGAGGTACTCTGTTCATCAGGTTGTTCTGTAGCGCTCTCTGCATTTTGGAAGCCGATGTCGCCTCACTATGCTCGTCTCTCGGCCGTTACCTTGCCCACTTGGGTTCCATGCACACAACATGCGATCTTTTTTTATGTACCGCATGACACCCGGAGTCTACACATGAGCAAGCAAGTGACAGCGAGTGAGAGATCAGGCCTGTTGTGCAGCAGCAAAGCGCGTGTGCGTTCGTGCTTCTTTTCGCTCTCTTTCCGGCGCGGAGACACTTGGCAGTTCAAGAGCCAAGATGTATGCTGCCATCTACCTTCTGGAGAAGGCATTACAGAGACGTGTTAGGTACACATTTATTCAGCGGCACGACGGTATGCAAGGAAGAAGACACGGGTTTCAACCGGCATGTTGCCCGAAGATAAAGACCAACCCACCCTGCCCCACTCCAAGACGGTTCCCACACGCTGAGACGTAAACATTCCTGTCTGCTCGGTGACAAAGTTCAAAAGTTGTTGGCCGTCGCTGCCGTTTCTTCTGCAGTGTTCGTCTCGCGCCACCCAACTTAGCCTGCTGTAAGAGTATAGATCGCATCTACGTGCGCTTAAAAGGATCGAGTGAATTTTCTTCATTTCGAAGGATCGCCAACCCCTTGATGCTCTGCGGCCCCCGCCCCGGGTCTCGCTCTCGGCCCCTTCGAACGCACCCCCCGCCCAAACAACAGACGCTGACGTTTGGCGACTACCGCCGCCCTTCGCTGCTTGAGCACTGCGTCTTGACCCTGGCGGCCGTTGGCCCGGTGGGGTGCAAGGCTTTCTCGACGTTTCGGAAGTTGCGTCGGACGTGGGCTAAGGTTGCGGTGGCCGTGGTGGTTCCGGCAGTTTCCTGGGTTGTGCGATCCGTCCTCGGCTATCTCTACAGGTGATTTGCACTCTTGAGCTTTCGAGCGGTTGGGGGTTCGGCTGTATATGTGCTCGACGGTATTCCACGGCAGACACACCACAGCTTTTCTTAGGTGCGTGTTGTTTGGTTGTGTTTAAAGTGGCTCTGTGCCGTGCCTCCCGCGTTGCAGGAACGTAATCTGCTTGAAGCCGCTGCTTCTGACCCGTCCCGGGTACATGCCGCTCTTCGCGCTGTTTGTTGCGGCCCAGCGTCTTTTCTTCGTGTCGTAGGTCCTAGGCACTTCTCAGGGATAGCTCAATGTGTCCTCCTTGACCTATCTTGCATGATCGTAGCTTTCCACCCCGGCTTTAATCGAGACCTGTTCCGATACCCCACCGGGAACAAATGCTCCGTCCTCTCCAGGACGACGCGTAATATAACAACTAAATCATGCAAAACAACTGTACGCCCCCCCCCCCCCCCCCTAGGGAGATCGTCCTTCAGCCGAAGCTGAGATCTCCGGAGAGCGTGGCCTTCCCCAACAGCCGCTTCGAAGACGTGCGCGGGCTCAAGGTCCACTACCTGCGGGAAGACCCTACCAGCGTCGATGGGACGCCCGTGCCGGCGCGGCGTGTCCTCCACATGAACCACGGCTTCGGGGCGTCGTCGTCCTCCTGGTCCCCCGTGATCCGGAGACTCTCCCGCGACCTCGGCGTCTTGGCCATCGCTCACGACACCCCCGGGTTTGGGGTTGCTTGGTGATGTCGTTTTTTGGGAGGCGACCCGTTATTTTTTTGGGAGCAACGCAGGTGGGGGGGGGAGGACCCCCGCGCCCCAGAGAGATTTTTGGAGATGGGCAGGGGGGGGTTTCCGTGCCCTGCTGTAGGCCCGGGGGGGGGGGGGGGGAGGGTCGTGACCTACTGTCGACGTGGGCGTTGGTACTCCTGGATGAGCCGGGTTTCTGGTCCCGCCCACGCCGGTGACATTCGTGGCGCTAGTGTTGTATTGGGGACTGGACGGACTCCGGAAGAGGAGGAGGCAGTTCTCTCTGGCGAGTCCCCCGCCTCAGAACCTTTGGGGTGGTCTTCTGCGTTGCATGTACACATGCCTTTGAGAGCGTCAGCGCGCCATCACGTGTGTGCGCGTTGCCATCCACTTTGTTCTGGGATTCAGGTTTTTCACCTTTCGATACGTTTGGACGCCACCAGGGGGGGGGTGTACCCATAGTCGTGCATGCCGTAGTCGTTAGACCATTGCCCTCGCATCCCTACAAAGCCGGGACGGAGCACGCCGGGTTCTCACTGGACCAGGCTCTCACATCACCAAGCGCGAAGCGCCGTGAGGTGTTCGGCGAGTCGCATGAAGGGTGCGCTGCATCCTGCTAAGGGTGTTCGGCAATCTTGGGCTTACTTCCTTGCGTACGGATGACAGCTGCGTATGACTTAATTCATTTTCTGGTGCTTTCACGTAGAGACAGTTGTCAGCACTGTGTAACTGCCTCGAGAGTGCTTGACCATTTTGACACAACGTGGTGCGATCACCCCCCTTGCGCGGAGTGAGGGTTCTCGACCCCGCACAACATAATCTATACTCGACCACCATTCATGGTTACCGCAAAAAAAAACAAAGGCAAAAAAAAAGCGGTAACCTGGTTGCCGAGCTCACGAAGTGATCGGCTTGTTTTACCAGGGGGGGGGTGTACTCATAGTCGTGCATGCCGTAGTCGTTTGACCATTGACCTCGCATCCCTACAAAGCCGGGACGGAGCACGCCGGGTTCTCACCGGACCAGGCTCTCACATCACCAAGCGCGAAGCGCCGTGAGGTATTTGGCGAGTCGCATGAAGGGTGAGCTGCATCCTGCTAAGGGTGTTCGGCATCTTGTGCTTACTTCCTTGCCTACGGATGACAGCTACGTATGACTTAATTTATTTTCTGGTGCTTGCACTTCCAGAGACAGTTGTAAGCACTGTGTAACTGCCTCGAGGAAGCTTGACCATTTTAACACAACGTGGTACGATCATCCCCCGTTGCGCGGAGTGAGGTTTCTCGACCCCGCACAACATGATCTACTCGACCACCATTATGGTTACCGCAAAAAAAAAAAAACCGAGGTAAAAAAAAAAAAACGGTAACCTGGTTGCCGAGTTCACGAAGTGAATTGGCTTGTTTTACAACGTCGTTGCCAAGCGACGAAAACCCAATCCCGATGGCAAACACCGAGTGGGGGGCTTGTTTTACAACGTCGTTGCCAAGCGACGAAAACCCAACCCCGATGACAAACACCGGTGGGGGCGGCATGTTTTACAACGTCGTTGCCAAGCGACGAAAACCCAACCCCGATGGCAAACATCGGAGGGGGAAAACCAGGGGGGGGGGAACATAACGAGAAGTAGAGGGAGTGCTCTGAAGTATTGTTAAATTTTCATGAGAACGTCTCTCGTTCGAGTTTCTTCGTGTTTTTTTCGTTATTTGGTGTCGTTCATCCCTCTTGTCTCCCCAGCCATCACGGGCGAGCTCGTGCAGAAGGGCTTGGAAGAGCTGGGAGAATCCACGGCAAGCGAGGGAAGGTGCGTGCTGATGGGTCACTCCATGGGCTGCATCACGGCGGCCACGACGGCCCTCGACCCGTCTCTGCCGCCTCACCACACCACCCTGGTCCTAGTCGCTCCTGCCCTCTCTCTGCCTAGAAAGAGCACAGCCGAGCAGCGGCGCGCCTCCGCGCGACGAGAGGCGGCGGCGGCGGCAGCGGCGAACGCTCCAGTAGCAAACGGCAGCAAGGGATCGGCGCCAGCAGAAGCTGCGGCGGCGTGCTCGGAAAATGAGCTCCTGCGCGGTGGAGGTGGCAGAAGGGGCGCGGGTTCATCCGCGAGAGGCGGGGTGGGAGCGGTGGTCGGGGCGCCGGCTAGCGCCGCCCAGGCGGTGCTGCACGCTGGGGTGTGGCTGTTCAACTGGTGCCTGCTGCCGATGATCTACCCGCTCGAGATTCTGGGGCTCAGGTGGGCACGACGGGTGGAGTGGCTTGGGGCGCTTAACAGACTCGGGTGGTGCTCGCAGGTTGTTGTTGTTTTTTCGGTGCACATCAAGTGCTTCGCATGTATCTGAGTGTTAGTGAGAAAGAGGGTTGTTGGGGGCTGAGGATGGGCGTCGGTATTTCCGCGTTTGTTTTCAATCAATTTTCTGCGGTTTCCTGTGTCGCCCGCCGCGTGACTTGACCGGACCCCTTGGGTAGTTTGTTGGCCCGTGCAGTTCGTCCTTTGGCAGGCAAGAAGCGTCTTCTTTTCCGCCGTGGGTCGACACCTTCCGTAGAATCTTTGTTCCTCTGTGCCCACCGCCTACCCTGCCAAGGCTAGCGCATACATTCGGTGATCGTCAACTGGGCCCCGACGGGTGCACCCGATGAAACCTGCCCCAAGCTTCATGGCTCAGTTGTTTTATGCTTGAACCCGCCAGCGATGCCCGACGTCAAGCGTTTTGTTGGACACAACACCTCCACTGCACGAAAGCGAGAACCCCCGCCCCCCCCTGAGACTCGCCCCCCCCGGTGTTTGTCATCGGGGTTGGGTTTTCGTCGCTTGGCAACGACGTTGTAAAACAAGCCCCCCACTCGGTGTTTGCCATCGGGATTGGGATTTCGTCGCTTGGCAACGACGTTGTAAAACAAGCCAATTCACTTCGTGAACTCGGCAACCAGGTTACCGTTTTTTTTTTTTACCTCGTTTTTTTTTTTGGCGGTAACCATGAATGGTGGTCGAGTAGATCATGTTGTGCGGGGTCGAGAAACCTCACTCCGCGCAACGGGGGATGATCGTACCACGTTGTGTTAAAATGGTCAAGCTTCCTCGAGGCAGTTACACAGTGCTTACAACTGTCTCTGGAAGTGCAAGCACCAGAAAATAAATTAAGTCATACGTAGCTGTCATCCGTAGGCAAGGAAGTAAGCACAAGATGCCGAACACCCTTAGCAGGATGCAGCTCACCCTTCATGCGACTCGCCAAATACCTCACGGCGCTTCGCGCTTGGTGATGTGAGAGCCTGGTCCGGTGAGAACCCGGCGTGCTCCGTCCCGGCTTTGTAGGGATGCGAGGTCAATGGTCAAACGACTACGGCATGCACGACTATGAGTACACCCCCCCCCCCCCCCCCTGAGACTCCAGAGGCCGCCGCACATGATTTACGCCTGCCTACGGCAGGACGCTAGCTTACAGCGGAAACTTCTGGCGGCGGGCGCTCCGAAAAGTCTGGTGAGAAACAGACGATATGGGAGATAGCGATGTGTACGGGTTACTCTCAATCCCAAAGTCTCGTTTTCGTTGGAGTGAAACGTTCTCAAATTGTCTGCACTTGACGGCAACCCCGCAACAAACTTCTCTCTGCTGCCAGAGCGTGGTCTGAAGCTTGCCATCGAAGTGCAAAGGGTGTGCTCCTCGTGTTTCCGCATCCGTCGTGCGAGATCGGTGTCATTGTGACCTTGACCACTCTTTTTGTTGCGCCATCACCGCCTCTGCCACTCTTTCGTTTCGCTTTTGTCCTAAAAAGCACAGGCGCATTGCTCCGACCTGTTCGTGCTCGCGAGCGTACGTGCGTGGTTGAATCTCTAGCTTAGTGGTTGAGCCGGCGCGGAGTTTATCAAATGAAAGCACCGTCTCGAGTCCTTATTTGCAGCTGTTGGGGGACGATCACCAACCAGTAGTCCAAATACTCCCACCTGTTTGATCGAGTAGCTAACCAACATCAAGACAATGGAAACATGCGACGTGTTCCGCGTGCGTCGGCAGGGTCGACCAAGCGGGGGTGGACTTAGACGTGATCAACCGCTACCGGTGGCCCACCCTCGTGCGGTACTGGGACAGGTGCGTCGTGTGTGACAAGGATGACACCGCCATTGGCAGGGCTTCTTTTGGGCGGTTTAATTTCTTTGGCCTTCCTTGACTACGAGTTAGGTGTGGTTTAGCAGGTTGTGTTGAGGTGGTGTGGTAGCTGTAAATGCTGTCTGTTGCTTGTGCTGGGGTATAGAGAGATGGGCGCACCAAATCGTGCATGTGTAAGTAGATAGTACGCCGGTGGATTATCGGCATCGTTCTTTTGAAATGCTGGTCCTGACCAAGCACGCCTTCGGTACACCTCTGGTGAGCACGTGCCTCCCCGCATGCGCGGGTTTGTCTACAACCGCTGCAAGTCGTTTCGTATGAATGTCATGTGTTTGTGTTTCGACAGCAGTCTTTTTTTTGTTTGCAGTAACGCTGTCGTTGTTTGCGATCCTTTTCCCTCGTGGTTGGACGTCATTCCTACCCCCCTGCCCCCCCTAATGGTAGATGAAACTTGCAGCGAATCTAATGCACTTTTCCCCGACTGCCTTTCCCCCCCCCCCGCCCCCCCCCTTCTCTATCTCTCTCTCTCTGCCCCTTGCCGGCACACGCGGTACTCTGTTGCTGTTGCTGTTGGATCGTTGGATCGGACCAACCGATCACCGAAGGGGCTTTGCGTTGTTTCTTCTCGACCGCTTGCAGATCGGCGCAGGTGGAAGGGCGGGGCCATCTGGGTTGGTGGAGGCAGTGGCTGTAAAGGCCGCGCAGGGCATGAAGGTCATCGTCATTCAAGGTGCAGAGTGCAGAGGAAGTCAGGTTGTGGCCGAGCAATCGCCTTGGCCACAGAGAAATTTCCGATGGCGGTTTGCAGGTTTACAAGCGTGCTGAAACGGTGCTACTCGTGTATCGCGAAAACGGAAGCTGTGGCTTTCGGTGTGATTGTCCAAAAGACACAGCAGGCATATGTTAGCTAGTACTGGTAGATTTGTCCCTCGTGTCGCGTGTCTCTCCCCCTCTGGAACATGTTTCCTGTGTGACCTTGTGCAAGACACTGCGTGGTTCTGCGTTATAGCGTTGTTGAAAAATCGTTTGCTCTGGGGGCATGAGGGTGCGCTCTGTCCTGTTTCGCCTCCTACAAAGCCACACTGGTAGCGAAGGTCTTGGTGATTCCTCAACGCTGACCTCATGATTTACACCAGCCCTCTTGCGCGCGCCTCACACGCTCCCTGCTTTGCTTCCCGACCTCGATGGCGATGCCCGGGGTTGTCAGGGACCTCAAGATCTAGACAAGCAAAACTCTACACTTCACCGCCCTCCTTTTCTCTGTTTCGTGTGCCAGGTCGAGTGTCTGTGTGCACACATTATTATGTTTTGGCGGGTTCCGTTTTGCTGTCTCTGCAACATACGCCTCTTGACAATACGTATCAACTTCTGTTGGTGGCGTGCAGGCGACAAGGACACGCTCGTCAGCTCCAACAAGGCCAAGGCTATCGCCGACGCCATCCCGGGAGCAAAGGTAAGAAGACCGGTAAGTCTGGTGTGTTTTGGCCAGCCCATGTCTTCGGCTGTCCCTCGCGGTTTTCTGACTGCCCGAAGGCTCTTCCTCTCTCCCTGAAGAACTGCATTCTGGGGTCACACAGAACCTCCTCTGCAGTGCATGCCGAAAAGGTTTGAGCTCGTCTCTAGCTGCAACGGGACTTCAAACGCTGAGCTGAGCCAATTGGTGTTTGTTGTTGTCTTCACACATTAAAAGCCGTTCCGTTCTTATGCTTCAGCGATATGTCGCGATACTATTTGTTTTTCTTGTTCTTTTTGATATGAGATGCCTTCAGCTACCTACTGCTCGCGAGAGTTTGGACTACTCCGCAGTACTTGCGCGCTGAGCATACCCCCCCCCTCACACCCTCGACACTTCCGACTGTCGTTGGTACTCTATGAGCGTGGCAGGAGGGTTTCGTTTACCATCCCCTAACACCACCCCTCCCGGCTTACGGTGTCGTTGTTGCGCTGCGTTCCAGCTGTTGCTGTTGCCGGAGTGCGGGCACGTGCCTCACGAGGAGAGGCCGGACGACTTCCTGCGGCTCGTCCTCGAACAGATCAGCCCAGCCAGTGGTGGGGATGGTGATACCGATTCATGATGAGGCTGTCGGAGACACAGCAGCAGCCTTTGTTCCGATGATGATCTACCCGTTGTTGGCTCTTGACAGGAGGAGGAGAGGACTCCTTCTTACGGTCCTGTCGACTGGTTTGCCGTTAGCCGGGCGACTGTGTGTGTGTGTATGTATGTGTGTGTTTTTTTAGGGGAGTGGCGGGCGCGTTGGAAAATTTTGTTCGTTTGCACATGTTGAAATGCATTTTGTGTAGATATTGGGTGCCGAAGGGGGTCAATTTTGCGTTGAAATACATCGTTATCAGGTGGAGAATGCAGCGCAGAGTGAAGCACTTCCTCCTTGCTACTTTCCAGGTTGACGGCGAATAGAGGGCACTGTTGATAGGTATTGGGCAACGTTCCGCGTTTTGGGGGTTACGCATCGTGCGTTACCAGCGTGTCAGCTTGCAGCAGCCTCATGTACGATACAAGGTTACGGTTGTGATAGATGCATTGCTCGGTGTGTGTTAATTGGTTGGGTGTGACTGCTGGTGTGATGTTTTCCCAACGACTACCCAGATGATATCGAAGTACCTAGCATTTTTTGAAAACACGTGGAGGTGGGTACAAACGACGATTCGAAGGTTTTGTCGGCGCCAATTTCGTCGTGACAACTAAGACGAAATTGGTGGATTGGGGGCACCACAAGAGTCTCCTCGTCCCCAACATTGCACCAGACTTTAAGACTCGCCAGGAAACGTTCATGAGTAAGGGCACGCACGGCACGCACGGCAAGCCTTGTTTACCTTTCTTTCACTTTGCCGTCCATGCCAGATGACGCATGCAGGCTATGGTACGTCGTATTTTCGACAATGGGTGGCTTGTGGTACCTCGCCACCTGGTTTGGTTGTGTAGGAGTAACAACGTAAGGCCACCTTAGCGGTGCATCTCCAACGCTGACGTGGGAGCGGAACAACGACAGTCAATGCCCCGTGAACCAAAGGGGAGGGGGGCTTAAAAAAAAGAAAATGCTGCATATTTTCCGCAGACATCGGAGAGTTTCCATTTCGTCCTCTCCCGAACGTGGCTCTGCCATGAGACTGCTGGGACGCTGTTGGGGACTGGCGCCTTTCACACAACTAGAACACTTCTCGGCCATGAACAAAACCAGCACCTTGTTTTGAAGTACTATGTCAAACGAAATAAGCATTCACATGGGTGACCAACTACATAGATGATAGGCCTGCTGCAACAGCCTGCTCAGGTATTTCCCTGACCTTCAAAATGAACTCCATTGGCGTTCGTCCACTCACGCCTGTGACTCGAACCAACCAACATTGAAACAAACCTACGGTACTAAGATGAGTCGCACCCCGGCGCAGACAGACTCGCCTGCAATCGCCTGTCAACTTACCACCCGCTGACAACACCAAGGAACAAAAACGAAGGACACAGCAAACATTTCCGATTTCTACCCCGTGTCATCACATCTTGATCGAGAACATACATATACAGATGCGCCCTTACATTCAAAGACTCAAAGTTACAAATCGCACGTAACATGCCTGTACGCTCGAGACATGTCTATCTACGCAATCCGCGACTCCGCACGATGACGCCGAAAAAAACGGGAAAAGGGGGACCAAAATACATATATGAAACACACGGGCGCGCGTTGATTCCTGTAAGCAGTCATGTGATGCAAGGCGCATGCGCATGAACAGGAGTAGGCTCTTGATACCTCGTCACGCACAATTTTCTTCCCACACCGCGCGGCGGTGTAGCACTAACGCAACACACAGCAGCAGCAGTCGGCCTCTTGATCCTTCCCGTGTACATGCTTCGACAGACGCCACGTACTGCTCTCAAGTGTGGTATATACAACAACGCAGAAAATTAATCATGTCTAAAGTTTGCAAGGCAAACCACAGATGATCTACTGAAAGTAATTCGAGGTCATGATGGAAAAAGTTGACTGTTTTCCATTTGTCGACTTCCGTAAGCGCGCAATGTAAAGGCATGGAGCACAACCGTACCGCACGATACTTTTTGCACGGGCCAGCCGTACCTCTCGAAAAGTGTCACATCATCACCGGTGTGCACAAGCGGCATGGTGTGCACACTTATGTAACCGAAATCAGGGATGCCTACCGCCACTACTGTCCTCCGCAGATAGGCAGCAGCCTTGAGCCATATGCATCGATCCCGACCCTCCCCCCCCCAACCGTTTGGATTGATCTATGCATGCCCCGACTCAAGGAAACCACTCGCGAGGGCAAAACGGACAAACTCAAACATTTCCGGTACGCAGCCTACAACTCAACTACCTGTTATCCCTCTCCTTAAAGCCTAACTTGGCGGCCTGATCAGGAGTAAGCAAGTACAGGGAGCCGCCGCTGCCGCCACCGCTGCCGCCGCCGGGGGCGCCCGCTGTATCACCCTCCTGGGATAGCCTACCATTGAGGGATCTGATGTTCGTGGGCGGTGGTGTCGACTCGCGCGCGAGGGGCGGCGGTAACTCTCCGCTGACGGAGCGGCTGTCTCCAGCCCTTTGCAGCTCTTTCACGGAAACGAAGTCTTTGCCCTTTTTCTGGAACTTGCCGCCGTTTCTCGGCCTTTCTCTGGCCTTGTTTTGCTCCTTGCGGTTGGGGTCGTTCTCGCGCATCGCCTTGACGAACGGCCGGCGCTTTCTCTTGTGGTGGTAGCGGGCGAGGGCAGCCTGCGTGATTGTGTAGCACACCACAGCGGTGTCGAAAGAGGAGGCACGTGTCATCAGGTTGCGTGGTTGTTGTATCTCTTTCTAAATATACCAACGAGCACGCACGGAAGAGTTGAGGTATGAGTGTGCTCAGGGGAGGCGTTCTTATTTGACCACCGACTGCTGTAGGCTTGAACTTGACTCGAGAGTGGAGCTTTGTCCCTGTTGGACAGAAATTCATGTAGTGTGCGCCGCCTGAAAATGGTTCGCTCGTTGTTTGGGTGTTTCGATATTGTTGTTGATATTGGCTATTCTTGTGCAAGTACTCTAACCCTCTCCCGAAGCCATAACAATCGCCGATGGGGTCAATTCGTATGTATAGAGACGAAGACAACTACCCAAACCAGTCCTATGCATACCTGCGAGGGGCGAGAGGCAAGTGTCTATTAATAGTGGTGGAGTTGAGTGGACGACATGGCGGAAAGCGCTGCACTATTAGCTCATGCAAACGACACAACGTGGTGCCAAAGGCCTGGCCCAGCCAGTGTACTATTTTATTGAAGTCTACTGCTGTTGGCAGAAACTTGCAATTTTTCGGAGAGCTGCGCCTGAACTGACCGCTGTCGCGGCTGAAACAAAACAAACCAGGTGAGCGGGAAATGGAAACAAGAGAGGCGCAAACGCGAGACGCGTCCGTGCGAAGGGCAACAATAGGGCACATGTGTCCGCTCCAGCCAACGAATTTTCACGGAAATTTCGTTTCCCCCGAGAAACTCCAGCACAACGAGTCACGCTTATTTAGCAACATAATACGAAGGTAGCTTGCGACATCTTCGGAACAAACTGCAATTCGGGTTTTGGGTGACTAGCACAAGGATGAATCCGCTTCTTGGCCTTCGGAGGAAAAGCCGTACTGGACGCATGTATTAGGAGACACCGTGGGAAAATATCGCAAAAAAATCAGGATATGGTTGTGAACCTGTCTACGCGTCATTTTCTGCTGCCCGGAAACTCAATACTTGTACAAGAAGTTCAAAAACAGCAGTAGCCCGCAACGCAGCAGCAAACGTTTCTGGACAACAACACGCGTATAAATGATACAAGTAGATCTCACCTCTCGCGTCCACTCTGTCGCGCCTTCAGATTGGTCCTCCAGGGTCATCATCGATGACAAAACTCCCGGCGAACTGAATCTTCCTACGATACCGCCACCACCTGCTGCTCCCGGCCACGCCGCCGCCATTGGCGGACTCGGGCGGCCGCCAACCTTGGAAATGTCAGGGATCATGCTCGCGAGAAGATTAAAGCTAGACTTCCTCTCATGGTAGACTATTGGGGTGGGAGGCGGAGCTACTTGGTGTCGTGTTGTATCTGTTGGGGCGTAGCCTTGGTCGCTATTGCAGGAGGGCGCTGGACTAACGCCTGGGTGATGGGCGTAGCGGTTGTGTTGGACACCGTATGGTATACCACCGTTGCTAGTTCCGCTCCGTTCCGTAGTGCCTGTCGCGGTTGCTGTAACCGCGGGCGCTTCCCAGTCCTGCACCAAGCCGCCGGGCGCTGCTCGTGGTGGTGGTTGAGGTTTGGCGTCGGGCATGAGGCAAACGTCTGCCAGGGAAGAGTCGCGGATCTTGCAATGGGGATCGAACGACTGCTGTCGAAGGTGCTTGGGTGGAACACGGCTGCTGCTGCTGCTGCTGCTGCTGCTGCTGCTGCTGTTCCTGTCGATGATGATGCCGTCGTGTGTCGTAGCAGCTCCGCCGGCGCCGGGGCGGGAATGACGTTCCCAAGAGGCGCTGCGGCCGCCGCCGCCGCCGCCGCCGCTGGTGCCGTTGCTGCTGCTTCCACCGGCGTGCGTTGTGCCCTGGGCCACCCCCGGCCCTCCGCCGCCACTGCTCCCACTGCCGCTGCTGCTCTTGTAGCTGTAGTTGTCCAGCAAGCGACTCAACGAGCTTGAGTCTCCCGTGCGCCAGATTGGCTGGCTTGAGACATCATTCCGAGAAGCGGCTAATCTGGCCTTCCTGCTGTTGCTCCTGCCGCAACTGCGGCCGTAGCTATTCGCGAACGGAGCACCGGTAGGCATAGAGGACTCCAGCTCCTGCATCTCTCGGATGTCCTGCTGCTCTACCCTGGGGCCGCCGATTCCACCGCTGCCCCCGCTCGTACTCCTCAGCAGAAGCTGCGCGTCCTTGCGATCGGCAGCAGTGGAGGTCGCAGGTTCTCGACGCCCGCCGAAGTGTTGCAAATTTGGGACACCTTCGCCGCCCGTACTGATGAGATGCGCCATCGGCCAAGCGCCCGAGTCGCAGCGCTCAACCCCGCCATAGTCGGCGTCGTTAGGCTGGCTCGGCGTTCGCTGCTTGCCGAGGTTTTGGAGGGCAATGGCGACCATTCCCTCCTCCGCGCTAATCGACCTCCTTTCCAGGGCTTCAGGCTTGTCCCAACTAAAAAGCGAGAGCGGATGCTGACGACTCGAGAAACGCTCGAACGAAGTCTGCCCCGCCATCTCGTAGCGATCGGCATCGCCAGGCCTGGAGCCCGGGGGAAGCCCCACCTCGCTGCTGAAGGCCATGTACGCGCCGGTTCTTTTTTTTCTTGGGTGATTCTGGACAGGCCTCTTGTTCCCTTTACAACGGGAGGAGCTCGGACAGATTGGGCGGCCGTGCAAGGAAAATTCCTTCGGCGGAAGGGGAGTTGTGTGTGGGCCAGTGCAAACCCCCACAATGCATGCATGAAAGGGGGGAAGAGGGGACGTTTGGGATCCTGTTCTATTTCTCTATCGTTTCAACCCTGGGTTTCTATTGGCTGATGAACAGGAGCTCCGAGGTACCCTATGCTTCTAGAAGAGTGAGCATCTGTGAACCCCCCCCCGATCGGGTGATCGGTTGTGTGTCGGTTGTCGGTGCACACCAGTGCACAGCAACGCACAGCTTTGTCCGTCCCTCCCGTGCTGCTGCTGGCGTGTTGTGGACGATCTTGCGGAGATGGATGATGCTTGGAACGAGCTTTCGTTCGACTTTGAGCCGGCAGTCCAAGCAGCCCTGCCTCCCACGTCTTTGGGGAACACGAGAGACCGCTTCAGGACACAGGTATGCATTCGAAAAACTCACTTCGTTTTTGTTTGCTTGCACGCTGCACCATGTGCAATTCCCACACCGACGCGTGTCTGGATTCCTGTTTCCAACAGCCAACACCGGCCACCGCAAGGAAAGCAGGAAGATATGCGAGGGCTGGGTTTGGATGCCTTGTTGTGGTGATAATAGTTTTGCAAGGGAGAGTCGGGGTTGGGGAAGAGATGGAAAGGTCCCCTAGACTATTCAGTATTTTGTGGATACACACTTACAGTTTGACGCCAGCGACAGTCTAGTCTACTTGCAAATGGTTGAATCCCAAGGGCAATGAAGCAGTTATCGCTGGCGGGGCCATCGCTCCTGCTGTCGGCTTCGTTTTTTTAATTCAGAGATCGACAGTTAGTTTGTTTTCAGCAGCTCACACAAACCAAACACACGACGCCCCTACCACCGCAATTCTGGGAACAAATACTCCGAAGTAAACGAAAATGACACATACACCCGCTAACGTTCCGTAGCCTCAGCACCATGTACTGTAGTATCAGCGTTACTCATGGTTTTTGCGTAGGTCAATTTCTGGGTGAAATTGCTTTCATATTGGGGCTTGACTTTCCTGGGACTGCGTAACATTACCCACAGGTGCGGGACAATGGGCTGAAGACGGCACCCAGCACTTGAGAACTTGAGAACTTGAGAATCTCTTTCTTGCTTCGGGCAACCGTCGCGGCTTACAAGTATGTCCTGTTGTGATGTGATAAAACCGTTTGATTGTGTGCTGGTTGTCGCCTACTGGGAGTACGTTTCAATGTCAAAACACCCGCAAGTTTCTTAAGTTGGTGCTGCAAAGCCTGGCAATCGGTTTCTTCTCTGAATCCAAGATTTTTGGAGACCCAAAAGACAGTCAAAGACGACATTCTGGCCCCCAAGCAATTGTTTGTTGGTGGTAGGTTGCTAAATGAATCTGTAGAGGGCATGAGAGAGCATGATGGAGCAACGAAACGCTCGTCGACACGCCCAGATCTGTTACTCAAGTCGCGCGGTAGAAGGTTGCAGGTGCGGTCCGAAAGGTTCGCAAATCTAGGTCCATACATACCAATCACTACAACTCTAAGGTCCATACAGTACATACAAGCCGGTCGCCCCGGTGGTCTAGTTGGTATCCTCGAAACCTTTATCTTTTAGAGGTCAGGTCAGGGGTTCGAATCCCGGCGTAAGCGAGCTTTTCTTGCGAAGTGAGTTTTTCTCTCGCTTCCGCTCCTGGCCTAGTGGACAGCGCTAGTTCGTGTGTGAGAGTGCTGAATTCTTCCAGTAGCAAAAATCGAAGGCGAAGTACCGCAGGAGGGGAGGGTAGAGAGGGACTCTTCTGTGTGACCACGGGTTGGAGTGAACGGCACTAGTTGTGTGAGCGCTGATATGAAGTGAAGACAAAAAAAAAAATACAGTATGATTTCAATCACTATGATCGCGCCATCACAGGTCCAATCCCCTAAAATGCGGGTTGCCCGAGGCAGCTACAGTTTGAAACCGTCACACTAAAAGTTTTCAACAGCAAGGAAGGTGCCAGATTGTTGGGGCGTCACGGCCGTCACACAACGCATGAATGCGTCATGCTCTGCTATCGCTCGCCGCTTGGTGCTGTCTTCGTCCGAGGATTGGGTTTGATTTTGACACTTTTTAACCGGTTGTGCCCCGGGCTGTGCGTGCGTGTTTGGCTCTGGTCCCCAGGTATGTCGCCATTGGCTGCGAGGCCTGTGTATGATCGGCGACAGCTGCGGCTACTTGCACAAGATGGACCGGAATAGGATGCCTATCTGCAGGTATGTGTGCGTTTTTTATTATTGGCATCGACCGCGCTAACGGGTTGACCAATGAAGATATGTCAGTCTCAGTGCGGTTGAAAACACAGTGTTTGTGTGTTTTGTGGGCGTGCGGTTCTTTGATTTGCATCGACCACGCTAACTGGCCGACCAATGACAAGACACCAGTCTCATAGCAGGATAGCTTTCGCGAAAAATGGGGTGTTTTGTGTGTGTACATAGTTTGTTGAGGGATTGCATTCATGAACAAGTGTGCATACGAGAAAAGACGTGTCCATTGCTAGAAAACGAATCGGCGTCAATACCTTCGCCTTTTGGCCTGCGTAGATGTTACAACTCGCGGAGGAGCGACACACACGCCGAGGTCGAACAGTTACGCATTTTTGGGATGGGCTTGAGGCGATCCACAAGATGCTCCAGGAGCCCCCAGCCTGTCGGTATCACGTTGTGCCTTGGGCGAGTCGATGGTTTCATAGCCGACCCTGCAAAGCAGACAACAGAGGGGATGGGCGGTAGCAGCGTTCGCCCTAGTTTCGGCATGGTGTTGATCTATCGGCACTTCTGAGAGCGTTCACTTCGCCGCCCTTGTTTTTCGGCTGCGACAGTCGCGTACTCTGGGTTCAGTCGTTTAGCCGCCAATTTCGCGCGCCCTGCCCGGCGCCCCATCTGCCAATGTTGCGCCCCGCTTGGGGTTAGCCCACACCAAAGTGCAACATGTTGATGGGCGCAGCTCTGCGAGCACGCCGAACGTCGTGATTTCAACTTGTCAACGTCGTCGAGCTCTCGATTCGACCCTCCTCACACACGCGCGAGACCGATCCCCTTCCGAACTGTGTCGGTGGCACTGCGCGGCCGAAATCGCAAGAAAAAATAAGTGAAATCAAGACCTCGAAATATGCTTTACCTTCACGACAATGTTTGCCTGTTTTTGTCCAGCTCGTATTAATAATACCGAAGTGGTGACACATGACGCGACACGAATGACTGACCAACACAACCTGTAAAGTGTTGACGACCGCGCAAATCAAGTATTTTTTGTATCAGTCGCGACAGCACCTTAACCTTAACCTTACCTAACTTGACACCATGGCGACGGCGACGGCGACGACGGCGTTAACCAGGTGGCGAACGGATTGCCAGGTGGAAGGGTGCGCGTTTCGGCACGAGGAAGAGCAGGAGGCCCCGGAGTGCGCCATGTACCAGCAGGGCTTCTGCCGCCAAGGGCCCACGTGCAGGTTTAGGTGGGTTATCCGTCAGCACTTCCGGCTCTGCCACGCCATTCTGCAATGGGTGGAGGTCATGGGAGTTGACTTGGATGTATGTATAGGGCTATGTGAGTTTTCGCCTTGTCTTGGATGTCTGTGTAGGGCGATTGGGGTTTTCGCACAATGAGATGTAGGTACTGTTGAGGACGGCGTCGGGTTTCGTATTTTGGAGCATGAACAATAGGGCGTTGGTTGTGGGTATTGGTGTAGAGAATAGTCAGTCTCTGCACCCTTTGTCGTGCCTTTTTTTCTACCGCGTCCCCTGTTAGCAGGTGTAAGAGGGGATTATGGCACAGGTCAGGATGTGTAGTAACGTTTGGTAGGTCCTAAGTTGTGACGCTTTGCTTCTCTCCACTTGGTGTAGTAGCGTCCTCATTCATCCAACATTGCTCTCCCGCGTGTGTTTTACAACCAACCAATCAACCACCCCCCTCCGCGCGCCGTATTTTAGCGGTGCCTCTTGTATTGGGAAGAACTTATGATGCCGCGTCTCGCAAATCAACATATTAATGACTTGGGTGAACCAACTCCCACTCGATGCCAACCTCAGGCACGTGAAGCGAGCGAGGGAGGACTGCCCCGAAGTGGCCGACTTCTCTCTAGCAAACCCCACCAGCCTCCACTCCAACAGTGCCGGCGGCAGGGCCATCCCTCCCGGAGGCTTTAGCAGGAGCTTTGGGGGAGGCAGCTTTGGGGGCGGGGGCGGGGGGGCAGCGCAGAGGGGCGGGGGGGGGGGTGAACACGCCGGGAGATATTTCGGCAAGAACCAGATGTGCAAGTACTGGACGAGCGGGACCAAGTGCCCCTGGGGGGATGCGTGCAACTACGCCCACGGGGAGGTGTGTACTGTACGTGTAGACAGGGCGTAATTTTTGCAGCTTACGATACGGCGCAGGCGCGCGTTGTTTGGTTCGGAAGATGATACAGAAATGGTGATGATGGGGGGACGCGGGGGGGGGCGTTGGACGGTCCTGATGAAACCTGAATAGGCTCCTGTGTCGGTTGAAAAACAAACAAATGTGAGCTTGGGGTTGACCTCAAGTCGGAGTAGGACATGGTACCACGAATTACCCCTGTTGCACTTTTTGCCGCCTTCCCCCATCACGTCTATCGTCTTGCTGTTGCTTGAGATGGCTCACGTTTTTTTTTTTTACTTTCGCACCTCTACAGGAAGATCCCCGACGAGATAAAGGCTCTGGCGGCGTTGGTGGCGGGTTCGGGTCACGGTTCGAGTCGCGAAAAGACCCTTTGACCGATCCCGACATCGAAGCAATCGTGCCGGTGAAGGACGGAGAAAAGGCCAGATTTTTCGTGCTGAGGAGCCTCAACCACGACAACCTTGCGGTGAGTCTTTTATTTTCGTGTTTTGTTGTTCTTCCTTTATTTGTTTGGTGCTCCGAGAGATGACAAGAAACCCATGACATTGCGGGGCGTTTTTCTACTCCATCATCCCCCCCCCGCCCCGCCCCGCCCCCCGGTGTTTGCCATCGGGGTTGGGTTTTCGTCGCTTGGCAACGACGTTGTAAAACAAGCCCCCCCCTCGGTGTTTGTCATCGGGAATGGGTCTTCGTCGCTTGGCAACGACGTTGTAAAACAAGCCAATTCACTTCGTGAACTCGGCAACCAGGTGACCGTTTTTTTTTTTTCCTCTTTTTTTTTGGCGGTAACCATAATGGTGGTGTTTGCCATCGGGATTGGGTTTTCGTCGCTTGGCAACGACGTTGTAAAACAAGCCAATTCACTTCGTGAACTCGGCAACCAGGTTACCGTTTTTTTTTTTTACCTCGTTTTTTTTTGGCGGTAACCATAATGGTGGTCGAGTAGATCATGTTGTGCGGGGTCGAGAAACCTCACTCCGCGCAACGGGGGATGATCGCACCACGTTGTGTTAAAATGGTCAAGCTTCCTCGAGGCAGTTACACAGTGCTTACAACTGTCTCTGGAAGTGAAAGCACCAGAAAATAAATTAAGTCATACGTAGCTGTCACCCGTACGCAAGGAAGTAAGCACAAGATGCCGAACACCCTTAGCAGGATGCAGCTCACCCTTCATGCGACTCGCCAAATACCTCACGGCGCTTCGCGCTTGGTGATGTGAGAGCCTGGTCCGGTGAGAACCCGGCATGCTCCGTCCCGGCTTTGTAGGGATGCGAGGTCAATGGTCAAACGACTACGGCATGCACGACTATGAGTACACCCCCCCCCCCCCACACACTTCCCATGTGTGTGAACGGTGGTCACGAAATGCCATAGGAAGGGTTGCAACGGCAGAGTATGTGCACCACGTTTCATGCCACTGAATAGAGTGAACGGCGCGCCCGCGAAATTCGGGGTGCCTATGTTCGGAGTAGAAACGGTAGTTTTACCGAGGAAGACAAGCATGCACTGAGCCCCTTCCCCACCCCCCGTCCGACCTCATGTGTTGCTCTCCTCTTGGGGAGTGAGCCTGTACGTCTCGCCGTCCTCGTCATCCCAGCCTTTGTGATGTACCCTTCCCCCCCTTCCGTGCGAATCGTCTTCGGCTGCTAGGTGAGTGCTGTCCAGAACAAGTGGTACGCCCGTCGGTTCAACATCATGCCGTTCAACTCGGCCTTCGACGGCCCGGGGAGGGCTTTCTTCTTCTTCACGGTGAACCAGAGCAACAACTTTCAGGTGCCTGACGTGACCTTGACTGATAATGGTGACCTCGTTCTCGTTGCTGTATGTGTTCACTGGTCAGCCGGGTATGTAGCGAGTTCGACGACATGCACACTTCAATCTTCTTGAAGGTCAACCAGAGCAACAAGTCGACTGACTTAACAGGGGGTGACCTCGTTCTCGTTGTTGTACGTGTTCATTGCTCGGCCGGGTATGTAGCGAGTTCGATGCCATGCAATATCTGCAATCTTGGATGAAAGCTCACGCAAGCTCCACGGTGACAATGTTTTTTGTGTCGGAAACAATCGTAATCTTTCCAATTTAACAGGGGTGCGCGGAGATGACCTCACGGGTCCCCCAGATGGGACCACGAACGGAGGAAGAGCAGGTGATGGAGTTCTCCGTCAAGTGGCTTAGGCTGTGCGAGCTGCCGTTTTCGGTGGCCAGTCAGGTGTGTAACGGCAGGGTAAACAGTGTCTGCGTGCCCATTTTTGTTGTTTTTTTGTTGTGAAGTAGAGGGTTGTGGAAGGGGAAATCATTCGTCTGCCACTTTGGCGAAATGGGACCCCTTTTGCAGGTTCACCTCCACGAACAAGGAGTTTTTTTTTTTTTTTTCTAAAATTTTTCAACAATCTTTTAGTTTTTCGTGTGTATTTGCTGTCTAGGTAATTATCTCGCCGAAAACGAGCGAAAATAAGCAATGCATTCATTTTGACCCCTGTCACCTCTAGCTGTAGCTTCTAGGATACCTGAAGGTCTGTCTTGCCTTTATGTATATGTACACACGCAAGGATGCTTCCTGCCAGCTCCCCCCGAGCTATGCCTACCCCGTACTTGCTTTCGAGAGTCGGGTTGGAATTTCGACCTTCAGAGAAAAGAGCCTTCAGCGAGAACGTCGTTCTCCCGTCCCCGCGCGTAAAAGAAAGATTAAAACGCCTACCCCGCCGAATGAAAACTGACCGCCAATTCCTCCGGCTTGCGCTGCGGCCAAACGGCCCCGCTACTACTTAGGTCAAGAACCCTTCGCAAGACAACCTCCCGATCTGGCGGGCTAGTCACGGCATGGAGATTCCCTACGAGGCGGGACGAAAGGTAATTTTGTTCTGTTCTCATTTGCGCACGTAGGAAAGGTGACGTTTTTTTCTGGTCTCATCAAATGCTTGGCTTAGTGAAGATCAAAACATGGACAAGGATGCGAAGAAGCTACGTGTACAGGGTTTGGGTGTCCATAGCGGCTTGGAGCCTCTTTTTTTAAGCTTGTCTGTTTCTTGACGCGTATTCTGCTGTGCTTGGCTTTTTAGTGTTGGCATGTTGAAATTGGCTGCGGTGTCGCCTGTGTCGATACTTGATGATGACGATTTGGTAGGTCAATGTGGGGTGTGGTTGTACACCGACCACCACAAGAGATCAATCCAACACGCCTAACGAACCCCCCCCTCGCCTACCCTCTGCTCGTGCTGAAACAAAAACTCTGCAGCTGTGTAAGCTTATGTGGGCCCAGCCGGAGATCGACCTCCCACAGCACGTGGTCCAGCAAGCGAAAGACGCACCGTTCTCCGGGGTGCTGCCGGCTCGCTCCCCCGCCTCCGGAGGCAACCCCACGGGGCCCCCCGGAATGAGGGGTCCCCCCAATAACCTCGTGCGGGTAGGGGGGCCGCCGCTTGGGGGGGGGGCTCCGGGGGGTGTAGAAGGGGTTTCGGGGGGCGGGGCGGGGGGAAGTGGGGTGGGGGCGGGGTCGCTGCAGCTTCCGGGCCAGCAGCAACAGCAGCAGCAGCAGCAGCAAAAGCAGCAACAACAGATGCAGATGCAGATGCAGCAAGTGCCACCACAATTTGATGGTCCGCCAGGGTTTCTGTTCGAAATTGAGTCGGAGGTGCGTCTTAAGAGTATGCTGCCGGTTGGCAAACGTTGGGTGGGCGCGTTGAGGAACAGAGCTTCCTCGTAATCGGCGGTTTTTGGTTCAAACACGCGCGTTGGCACTGTGTAGATGCTGCTGGCACCCAGCACTGGTGTGAAATCACTGCGAAACGAACGTGTGGTCTTCCACGTGCGTATGCACAAAAACAGACGACACACGTCCGTAGAACCGTTGTTTGGGGTGGTTAAGTCAAAATGCCTCTCAGGCATCGAGGTAGGTATTCCAAGAAACTCGGAACGTCGACCCGACCAAACGAACAAACACCCCCGGCGAAACCTAAACTTCCTTATCCTTCGCTTTGCTATTTTTTTTTCCATTTCGGTGTCTTTTGCCCTGAGTAACCGCAGCAAACTAAAACAACACACCGACCCTGCGTCGTGTTGCTCCGCTCGCCCCCTCAGTTCTTTGACGAATGTGTGGGGAAGCTCTTGTTCGGCCTCCCGGCCAGACTACCCCCCCACGCCCACGATGCCATTCAACCTGGAAACCCCTTGTTCTTGTGGGACCCGGGAAACGGCCTCGTCCTCGGGATTTTCCGAGCCGTGTCTGGGCTGTCGGAGCGTATCGACGGGACGGCGTGGGCTAGACCGGGCATGGAGACGCCTTTGCCTTGGCAGGTTAGTGGTGGTGGTTATTGATGTTGTTGGTGTTTTTTTTTTTTTTTCTTGTTCTTGTTGGTGGTGGTGTTGGTGGTGGGGGTGTCGTTGCTATGTTTGCTGTGTCATTCTCCGTTGTCTTGGGGTTGTCAGAAAGCATCGGCCGCGCCGACAGAAGGGTGAATGGAAGCACTATTGTGCGTCCAGTAGGCCGGGTGTGTGTTGCATTAGCATCGACCGCACCAACCCGACTGACCAGTTGTTGTTGTTGTTGTTGTTGTTGTTGTTGTTTTTCTTCACATTAAACTCGTGTCAGTTGCTAATCCCAAAATCTAGCAAAGACTCGGCCCGTGGTCACAAAAATGCTAAAGCCATCGGAAGATCTAAACCAGTGAGAAGACGTCAGTCTTGTAATTGGATAAAAGACGCGAACACGCTTTCTAGTGTCTGTGTGTGTTTTTGGGTGCATTTTTCCACATGTCAACACCCACCAAGCAGACACTTCGAAGTATTTCTTTAGCAGAAACCGATCGCTCCCCGCTGGTTGGCGCCACCTTTTTCCCTCGCACCTACCCAACCGACACCGTCCCCGACCCGACCATGTGAACCAAACTGTTTATATTTCCTGCCCATTTTTGTCTTTCGTTCCGCGTTGCTCCAGGTTCGAGTGTCGGTGGATCTAAAGGCTCCGCCAATCAAGGCGGGGGAACCGATCATCCGAGAGGTGTTCCGAAGCGGCATGGTAGAACCGGGGGCGTTGGATCCACGGCAGGCGGACATCCTGGCATCTACGATGGCGGGCCGCATGCGGCCGCCACCGCCGGGGGTAGTCCCGGTACCAGGACCGGCGGTAGCGGTAGTGCCAAGGGATGTGGGGCCACCGGGTTTCAACGGTCCCGTTGTAGGCGGTGGCGGTGGCGGCGGCGCCCACCGGGGTAGGGGCGGCAGGCGAAACAGGAACGGGGGCGGTAAAGGGCACAGATCTGGGAAAAAATAGGTGCTTGTGCTTTTGTGTCTGCTGTTTGTTGCGGGCGTTGTTCGTCTCGGTGATTCCGGACGTTGATTGGTTGGGGAACTGCACTACCATGTTGGCGATTCTAGAGCCACGCTCAGTTTCGTGGGCACGCGGCTGGTTTTCCATCGGAGAATTATTTCTGTCTCTTGGCGTGTGTTGGCTCATCGTAAACGTTGCTGTTTGTTCACTCTCTGCCGCTTGCTTGCCGGCGGCGCTTTAGCCGTGGGGATACTGTACGTTGCGAGTTTTTGCGGCAGTGGGCACTTGTTTTGTGCGGTTTGAACAAGTTGATTGGTTTCACCCAGGTGCCTATAGCGGGGGGCAGCTTAGGATTGTTGCCTCAGCGGTTGTTTGTTTCATGTAGCTGTGCTGTTCCGCGCCATGTTGTTCATGTCAAAAGAGAACCTTTTGACCTTTTGACCAAGTCTAAAGAGACGAAAATGCTGTTGTAACACCTGGCCTGTGCCATGTCGTTGCTGTGTTGGTTCATGTCTCAAATTTCGAGTAATGTTGTTGGGCTTTGAGCGAATTTGCTTCCACCGAATTCATACGGTGCGCCGGTAGCAGTGGTAGCGCGGTGCGGCATGTGTAGGTGAGTTGCACCACACGTGGGTGTGGATGCACTCTTGTACGTTAGTTGAAGTTCCCTGTGGTATGTTGGTGTGCGTTTCTCCGTACCAACTTTCATGTACCTTTCGAGCGTGTGTACACTTTTGGGGTAGTACTGTAGGTGACCTGTGCCCACGGAAGATGTGCGTCAGTTGGACCGGTACGGACGTTACAAGGTACGGAGCAGAGACCGGAACTGCTCTACAAGTGAAGACAACAATATCATCAACGACGACATTCCTGTTTGTCCCGCACGAAAACAAACGTAGACAACGACACGCGTCCACGATTGCGGGGAAATGATCCTGACTTCTTCAAGCATCCATCAACTCTAGACTCTCGACATCGTACGTGAAAACCGCATCAATACATGCCCAGTTGGTTTGGCGACTCCATGATATGGCGAGGCAGCGGACAAGAGTCGCAAGGAGTTCGGTTGGTAACCACCCCGTTTTTGGTCGCCCTGCTTTTGCTGGAATCCCATTTCTGCGGTCACCAGGTCATGCGTTGCTGACGTACAGCAGTACGAGTAGCAGCACAATGAAAGGACAGCGTAGCGCTTTACGCAGCCGCGAACCCTGTGTTTTCCATGTCCTCAGAACGAAGAATGGCAGAGGCTCACGAGACTGGTCCAGATTCAACACCTCACCCGTTGCCTGTATGGCTCATGCATGGCGTAAAACGTTTGGGTGCACGCCAAAAAAAAGTAGGCGAGTTACCAACGCGAGATGCTGGATGGGCTGCTTCATTAAATCACCAAGTGTACACAAGAGGCCATCCAAACTACGAAAGATTGCGACTGGAAAATTGGGACTGGAAAGCGCGGAAATTCTGCTTGCCAAGCGCACTAGAAGTACACACGAAACCGTCATTCATGCCTCACACGCCATCATCAACAACACCTACGACAGACAGCGGGCCAACAAAGGCACCACACCACATGGCTGTGCTTTAGGCACTAAAACCGCCGATAAGCGCAAGCCAGAGACCGCCTGCAGAAAAACACACCAGGAAGCCGCAGAAATCCCACGTGCCAAGAAGCCATGGCCGACCGCTGGACTCAAGACGCTGAACTCCAAGCCTTGTGGTGCCCAATCCTCTTTCGCGACACGATGGTGAAATGTCTCGGGCCCAGCACCTCACACGCCTGCGCCCTTTCACCTACAAGGCACATCCGTCTGTCTGCCCCGTACTGCTGTATCAGCTAAACGTGTTAGCACCGCGCGGAGGCCCGCGACCACGCGGGAAATGCCCGCCGAAAAACAAAACAAAACAGCGAAAAAAAACAGCAACGATGGCACGAAACTGAGCGATTTCCAAACTACTACGAGAGCACCCGCTCGCGCCAGCAGTCACCGAGAGGAACCACAAGATCAAGCTGCTCCCTCACGTCGCACGTGCGCCGACGCACCAACCAACGCTCCCCGGGTGTAGCGTACCAAGGAAGCCTCCCTCCAACGACATGACCGGACAAGGCCATCGAATAACCCAATCTGCCCCTGCCGACAGTCCTTGCGTTCTCCTAAACCTGCGGAAAGTCGGCGACGTTGGACTGGATGATACCCACGATGATCCCGAAGATGCCTAGCGCCGACGCGAAGATCTCTACGATGAGGATCTTCACAAACAAGGACGCGTCCTGGGCGTCCCCCAACGCGCAGGCGCTGCCGGCCACGCCCACCGAGATCCCGCTCGCCAGGTTCGTCAATCCCACCCCGAGCCCCCCGCAGAAGAGCGCGTAGCCGGCGAAGAAGGCGGTCGTCCACTCGTACGATTCGATGTCCTCAGGTGGGTCCTACGAGGCGGTGGCAGTTCGGGCGGGATTGGTTGCCGTCTAGCGAGTGGGATGCTTGGCCCGTGCAGGTGCTTCTACCAACAACGGGGTGCTGCCTTTGAAACCATGCTGGTCTCGTAATCTCTTCCTTCTGTACGCAGAGTGTGTTACCACCCGGACCTGTTGCTTGCCTAGCGAGCACCACACGACAACTCGCTTGTGATAAATGTAGACACGAGACCGGAAAGGCTGAAACATACGGCCTCAGTGCTATTATTGCGCTCGAAGATACCGTGCATATACCCGTCGCTTTCGTCATATGCGTATAAAATAATGATTCACGAGAAGTGTGCTCGAAAGAGCATGCCAGCACTGTACAATTTTTTCAGCGTTGGTTTTTCGGGGATAGCAGTCCTAGGCACGCATGACCTTCCCGCACTGTGTTTCCTTCTCGAGTGTAGAGCCTAAGAGCAATGGTACGTGTCACTATGGCCGCAACTTGAAACAGAGGCAAATGAGAAATGCCAGGTAGGTTGCACAGGGCACACGTGCACGATAGCTACTGTCCATCACCGTTTCATTCTGCGTGGCGAGTGTAGGCTTCTGCAGCACAGGGTGGGGATGGTACAGGCTGTCTCGCAAACAGCAAGACGGAAGAAGAGGCCGTGCGTCTTCCGTGCTACGAAGTAGGTACCACTGCCAGCCCGCGTGGATTCCGCGGCATGTGAGGCAACCAATCTCTATACCGTCCCATATGCACTAAACGAAACATCGCACGCAGTGCTCGGCATGCATACAGCACGAGGAGCGCAGCAGTCGTGCCAATTGCTGGACACGGCATCACACTTGTAGCATATGCTATGCATATGAGGTACTTCCAGCAAAGATGTCGGTTGACAGGGGTTGACAGGCCTGTCAAGGTCAGAAGAGGGGCACAACACTGTTAGCTGCTGATCGCGCCGCGCGAGAGCCATCTTCTCTGTACAGCGTGGCGCCAAGCCAGCAGGGCGCTCTTTCTATCTAAAGGAACTCGATACGCTAACAGCTAACGACGAACTGCGGAATTGATCTCTCTCCTTCTCTCTGTGACTCTCAGTCTATGGGACCCCTTCACGCGTGACTTGACCAAGACAGGAGGGTTACAAGGGGTCCAAACACATCAAGAAAGAGAACCGCTACAAGTACCTGTCTGTGTACTATGATAAAGGCTGTGTACCGTGCAGTAGACGTGCATCCAGCACAGAAAAAGTGCGGCGCGACTTGCCGATGCACCCAATCCAGCAAACGATGGACATATGAATACGTGTCTGCGCCACACAATAACGACGCCGCAGCACGTGTACTACTGTTGACAGGCTGGGTCCTTGTGCAACTGTCGCGTGCCGCACACACACCTGAATTTTGTTGGTGAGGATGATCGCCATGATCACTCCGTAAATCGCGGTCGCCTCGCAGAAAATCACGCTAACCAAGTTCTTCGACCTAATACGAGGTGCCTTCACGGCTGCGCCCATGATGCTAGACCCCGTGAGGAAGATGCCCCACCCCGCTCCCAGCACGGATAGACCCAGGGCAAACCCAATACCAAGGTTGGCCCAGCCCCAGGGCGACATATGCGTGAGAACCTCCGGCCAGCCCGCATTGCACAAGTCGTTCGTGCAGAACACCTCCGTTGATGAAGTCATCGTGCGCTGCTGCTGCTGCTGCTGTTGCTTCTGCGGCCGTTGCTCCTGGCCGACGAAGCAGCTCCCACGTCAGTAGACAAACAGAATGTTCAAGTGCACACGATGCGTCGGCCCAGCTCAGTGACCTAGCAGTGTTTGCCTGGCCGCTTCGCTCTGTCTGTCTCTCGGAAGCACAAGCGGCTTTAGCACAATTTTGGAGTTGGGGGGGTCGGAGAGGGGAATATTAGGAGAGGGGCAGGGTTGTCCACGTAGGGTTTGCATGGCGCGTGGTCTGTGTTCTAATAAATGAAACCGACAAACCGACGACGCCTTCGACTCCGACAAACCGACGACTCCGATTCGTCGAGAGGTTCGCTTTCCGGCGTTCCGAGGTTCCCAGCCTGCATGGTTATGAGTACACCCGAGAACGGGTCGACAAGCACCCCACATACGACGCACGCATGATACGCGACCACGATGTCCGTTGTGAAGACTGTGAAAAGCAGGAAGGCGATGCTGACAGCTCTAGAGCAGGTGCGACCAAGTACATGGTTTGGCGGTGTTGTGGAGTTTCGATTCAAGCAAGCGTTCGTTTTTGTGTCCACGTTTAGTGTCCAAAAAATGGGCCTGGTCTTTGGGTGAGCGCTCGCGGTCCTTGGGTCTAATCGGTGAAGCTCGACGTTAAAGAGTATGAAGGGGTTTCGGTATCGAGTACTGTGAGGCGCCCACCTTCTCATTCCACTCCATGCCGAACGTCGGGGTGTGTACTTTGGCGCGGAGGCCTGCTGCATTTGCGCGGTGCAAATGTTTTCGCATGAACATCGGACACACACAGCAGTTGTCATAAAGTCGCCGTTAAATTACGTTTACAATTACTAATTGCTGTGTCGGTGGGGTTGTTGGGGCCTCTCTACGCTTAAGTCTTCAGTAGTGGGCGCGATTGTCGTGAAATGCGCTCCGGAAAATTGTCGTGCGTCTGTTACATAGAAATCTATTGGATAGGCTACGGAAATCCATTGGATAGGCTACGTGGTCATTATTTTGAATTGAAAAACACAAACAGCACAAATCAATCCTGTTGGCATGCTTACAACTTCGCCTGCATACGGCTTGTGCCCCGTTCATGTTTTGCATAGACTCCGAAAGACAAGCTTCGTTGGTGGGACCACAAACAACGGATACTAGAGGACTGGCTCGACACGAGCGGGGATGAGATCACAGTGGAAGGCGCATCCCAGCTGATCCGCGGGCAGCTGCAGAGGGGGAGCGCGCATGAGCACTTGCGCATCAAGTGCTGGAAACACATAGTTATTGAACTGTCTGCGCTAGTGGAGGACGATGCGGCACCGCCAAATGGGACGGCCGCGGTGATGAGTGGAAGGTATCGGACTTGACGCAATAAATCATCCCCCCTCGTTGATACTCATGGGACTTATCGTACACACGAGTACTGGGAGACCACCACTGCGGCATTCCTTGGGTTGCAATTTAGGCGAGTGCCAGTGACGAAAAGAGCAAACACCGACATAGTGTACATTCGAGGTTTATGCTACTCGACGTACATATATGTAGCACGCGGCAAGCATCACGTGTGATTGGTGAGAGGGCAATATTTGGCGGTGCACCGGTCGTATTCAAGCCAACAAAATGCTCACTACGTTGGTAGAGAAGTAGACAAGCTGACCAGCACTAACAGCTTAGCTGGACGGTGCGTGGTGGTAATGGTCTAAGAAATAATTTCGTGCTGGATGCATCACAGTATCATCGAAAAAGGAACATCAATCCTATGCAGAGCTTACACCATCAGTGCGAACATTCGACAACTCTCAGGCTGGTAGTGGCAAGGCCAATGTTCGTCGTGCTTGAGAGCGACTCCTGCGCGTGTATGCGTGCCCCCACCCTTTGCGAAGACAGCTTCATAAGCGGCCAATCTTCGCCAGCACCAATCAAAACGTGCCCGCTTCATGGCCATGATTCCGCTTTGTGTTTTCAGACGAGGAAGCTCGCAACGACCGTCCGTTCAATACCCTTCGCCCGACGATAACGATGTCGATGGGATGGTAGACCTATCAGGATTGTCGTTCGTCGAGCGACAAGAGGAGTGGCTGCGCCGCAAGCAAACCGCCCTGCGGGCCAAAACGCACGAGGTGGAGAGGGCGGCGAAGAACGCGGCGACCTTCAACCCCAACCTAGCTATCAGCCAGAGCTCACTCAGGCCGGCACAGGTGCGACGATACTGTGAGACCGGGCTCGTGTGGGCACGGACACCGGTGACGTAGTGAAATTCCATCAATTGGTGGACCGTGTTCCCGTTGGAGTAGGCAGGCTCGTTGTTGGCGGTGTGTTCGTTCCATGCCTCACCTTGCCGCGTGAGAACTCCACCGCTGAGTTGTGGGGCTGTCGACCCCGAAAGCAGCCAGGGTTGATGAGACTTGTTGCATTGACGGGGTGGCGTAGGGCAGGAATTGTCGGAGGTAAGATTTGTCAACGAGGTGGCGATCAAGATGTGTGATGCAGAGACTGTACCGCAGCCAAGCGAATAACGCCTGGGGCCCTATGTACCCGCTGCCGAGCCTAGGCACGGTGCTAGGTAGGTAGTTCATCAGGTTCCTGAATTGCTCTAGTTTTCAGGGAACGGAATCGAGAACAAGACGAGAACACGATGTAGTCTGTACATATACTACTGCGCTATGGGGCAGTTAGATCACTTCTTCCAGTATCCGCCTCAAAACCCTCTCGCTCAAAAAGCAAAGGCTGTGCAGCACACTCGAGAGAGAAGGCTGCCGCGGATAGTCAACCACGCGGCTCTGCTACCGAACGGTAAACTGAGAAACTTCTCGGATCTTTCTTTGCCTGCTCGCGACCTATGCCACTCTGAAGGTGTCAGCAGTGGAGATGAAGCTGGAGCAGATGGCGAACGAGGCCGAGCGGCACGCGCGAAGGAGTTCTTTCTCGCAGTCTATCCAGGAGGCCAAGCGGAGGGCCGAGCGAGAAGCACTTCCACCGCCTACTATCACAGCCGGTGGCCGGCGGCGAAGTCGCATGAAGCGGAGGGGAAGGTGATGAGCCCCTATGCCCAGGTCACAGCTATGCCAAAAAACGCGGCCAGCATTAACGGGCAGTCGGCACGAACTCGAGTTTGTCTCACTCGTTGCCGGATAAATGCGGGTAAACTTCGTGCAGGGGGGACTCATGCGGTTACCCGAGAAAAAGTTAGTTGCACGCCTGTATAGTACTTGTCCAATGCTAGCCTGGCCTGTTTTGCCCACGACTCAGGCCTGTCCGCCATCGAGACAGAGAGCCAGCCCTCTAAACAATTGTTAGCCCAGATCAATGTCGCACGCCTCAAAGTTGGACCCGGTGCCCGCTCCTCGAAATCCCAACGACCGCAACCCCTCCTTTCGAATCTACAGCACGGACGAAGACGTGGCGCACGCACGGCGGGCGACCGCTCCATCCGGAGTGTTCCAAGCTCGAGACGACGCCATCGGCCTCCTTAACCCTGCTGGTGATGGACAATCTGACGACGGTTTGGACGAGAGCGGGAGCAATAGCAATCACGACCGCTCGATGGGCGGGGTAGGCGAAGGTCCAGGGGTGGACGGGGAGGAGGCCGGTGATGGCGCTATTGATAGTAATTTGGAAGGAGGGGAGAACGAGGGGGAGGAAAAAGAAGAGGAAAAAGAGGCGGCGGCGGCGGAGGAGGAGGAGGACCGGGAACCGCCGTTCGAAAAAGGATCCTTCTTCTTCAAGGTGGACGACAAGGATAAGGGGCACTACAGGGTCAGGGACGTCTCGTGCTTCCTGCTGACAAGCATGTACAAGAGAAAGGACCGCGTCACGCGCACCCCCGGCGTATCCCTCTTGGTCGGAAAGCTGGAGGACCCGCCGCACGAGGAGAAGGTGATTTCCGCCCTCTTCGACACCGACCGCTTCACGGAGAGGGCCGCGGCGCAGTGGTGGGAAGACAACGGGCACAGGTTCGAGGATGCAAGGAGCCTGGCCGCCAAGAAGGTGAGCGAGGGGGAGAAAAAATATGTTGAGAATTGCCGCCGAGTACAACTGTTGAGCACAAATTTGTTGCGTACGGAATGAGGCAAATGGAAAAAAAACTATTTAGTCAAGTTTCTTTCTCCCGCTCTACATTCCAGCAGCGGAAACTTAACGGGTGGATTTCGGAAAGATGCCCTGTGCAGGAATTCCTTGTAGAGAGGTCTTCTACCGCGAGCGGAGATTTCCAGCCAACGGCGTCAAAAGGACAAACTCTGATGTGTGGCAACACGGAT